CTCTTAAATAATTGTTTATCTTTACAATTCGATTGAACCTTCTCAGTTCCTTAGAATTTTGAGTATTTTGCTTTTGATATGCTAAATTCATAAAAATTACATATAAATTACATATAAATGAAATGCCCTTTGGAATTTGCTGAAATATGTGGATTTTTGAGGTTGGAGTTGTGGAAAGAGAGCAGAATACCCCCCCCCCCCCTCCCTGAAAAAGAAGAAGGAAAAGAAAAGAAAAATGAGAATTAAATTTTCCTTATCTTCTATAGATGTGAAGGTAGTATTATTGTCCCAGGTTTCATATGTGCAATATTCATTTGTTTTTCAAGGTGATATCAAGTGCGCTGAAATTTGAAAATTGTGCATTTAAGGAGAAACTACTCCATCATTACTAAGAAGGGGTGACAATGGATTTAAACACAAATCCTCATTCTGGAATAATTAAAAACTATTCTAATGAAGAAAAAAAATTGGGGAAAAAAAAATCAATTAAATTTACAGATACAAATTATACTGCAAAGGGCCCAGTTGCCAACATGATTTTATGTTCTGTTTCAATTGCTGTGTGCAATGTTAAGTTTTAATAGGGAAAATCGGGAGAGGAACTATCAATGAGAGAGAGAGAGAGAAAGAGAGAGAGAGAGAGAGAGAGAGTGAGTGAGAGAGAGAGTGAGTGGTACAGGTGTAGAATAATAATAATAATAATAATAAATTATATTTCTATAGCGCATTATACAAGGTATGTCTCTAGAAGGATCTTGGTGTCTAAATTAAGACGCTTAACAAGCTCCTCTTGATTTAAAGATTTCAGCTGGAAATTAATTGAACTAGAAAGGTTTGGAAACCTTGTATTTGTATACATGTACATGTATATAACTTGAGCATGCACTGTGTACACTATCGTGAAAGCGTAAATATTGACATGACAGGTTTAGTAAATTATAGGTCAGTTATACTCTCAGGGGCATTCACAATACTGCAATGGATAAGGAATAGAGATGGGGAGAAACCACCTCCCCTTTGTACAGTATTAAAAGTGGAAATAATGAATTTTTAAAAATAAAAATGACAATTCCATGAGAGTTGTTAAATAGATACTATATGAATTGTAAGTGATGTTTATAACACCTTGATTTTTTGTATACCTTTAAAAAAAAATTCTGGTTTCCTTTATGTACAAGTTACAGACTGACACCCTACCCCTTCACCCACACAATTAATTATACCAGTAGCACATGTGTGTTCCCATTTGTGTATTACATGATAGTATACTACATGCAGGGCATGCAATTAGAATAAGATGTGTTTAGTTATTGGCTAAGGGATCACATATCAGCATTACACTTTGAGGATTCAATGCGGAATAATAAGACTACCATTAGGGAGGGGGGAAGGGGGGGGGGGGGGGGGGGGGGGGGGGGGGGAGTCATTAGGAGGCACATGCTCCTAACTTGCCGAAGGCCTTGTAGCTATTTTTCTGTTCACTATCTGGTAAATAGCTGTACATAAACATTTTTATATTGAGCACACGTGCGTTCCCATTTCTGTAACGTGATAGTATACTGTATGCAGTGCATGACATTGGAATAAGATGTCTTTAGTAATTGGTACACGTATCATGTATCAGCATTATAATTAGGAGAGGGATGCCGTTCCTTTTCGGAGGATTAAATGCGAAATAACAAGGCCACCCATGGGGGAGGGGGATCATTAGGAGGCACAGCCCCCTAAGGCCGTCTACATATAGCTATGCTCCTATACACTGTCTGGTATTGTATCTGGCTCTATTTTGTCTATTGATCCTCTCAGATTTGCTTGAAAGATGAAAAATTACAAGTGTAGGAATTGCGCTGCACATGTACATGAATATATATGGGGCTGCTTATAATTACAGGAAATACCCACCTTTTAAATAAAAAACATACATATATGAGCATTTAAACAAATACTAATAATGATAAAGTTGTTCATTTTGAAAAGCAATGAGAGTCTCTATGTAGACGACTAAATAACCACTCGATAATGATAATTTGATTCTTTTTAGAAAACTTGGAAAACTTACAAGTGCTACAGCATCTGTTATCTTTCTAAGAATATGAAAGGAAATCACAGCTTCTACTGTTGTTACAAGGATATCTCACATGCGAGGTTGATCAAATGATATTAATAGAAATGAGAAATTAATTTAATGAGCCCAAAGGAATGATAAGAATCCTTTGAAACCATTTTCATTGTGAAAGATTATTCTAGCTCCTAATTTCCAATGCAACATAATAGCTCTAGTCAGGCATTCACACAGACAAACTGACCAAATACTGACCAAATACTGACCAAATACTGACTCCCAACCGACTGATTCTTGGTCTTTCACAGTACAGTAAAGACTTTCAAGAAATCAAGCTAAGAACAATTTTAATTCCTTTTATTATTACAGGTAAACCTCATTATAAAGAGGTCTGAAATATACAAAGTATCTGTTTTAGCATGGTGATTTTGCTGGTCCCAGCTCTTTATATTCTTTTGTTTTTTACCCTGATATAACAAGGTAATTTTCATGGTCCCAAGGACCTTGTGTCCTCGTTATAATGAGTTTCCACAGTATCCCATTGGAATCATGTGCAAATGCACCTATATCATTGCAATGTTCATATCATGTAGCTGACTGACTATGACACAAGTCCATTGGTTGAGTCTCTTTATAAAAAGCCTGTGCGATCTTCTTGTAATGTAATCATCATTTGACCTGTTCATTGTCAGTCTGGTGTCCATCTTGTTGATGTGAATGGGGTATGAAAAAGAAGACATTAATCAGTATCAAACATGAACAGATATGAAGCTGTAAAATGTGGCTGTTTTTTTCAAATGATGACGTAAAGTGATATGCTTCTAATCTCTGTTTCTTACTGCATTTGTAGATGTTTATAACAGAGCTTGGTGGAAATGTTTAAAGGTATAGACCAGTATTGGAAACGCCTCCCTGTCAACAAATGAAATGGAAGCTCTTATTACCAATCATGTGAAAGAATATGTTTTGACTAATACGTGATGATACAGATTTTGCCAGGAAACCGCCTACTAATTGGTTTATTTGATAAATTATAATATCTATCCGGCCTGGATAGATATCGCGTAGTCCCATATACATCTTTCTGTGTACAGTGCTTGTAACTTTACCAAGACTGGGCCAAATTTTGTGATAATTTTAATGATTCCAGAACCTTGCAATACACACCAATACTTATATGCTAGATGATCAACCTTTTCTGATCGATTCCACAACGACTCTTTCACAATGCAATCGCATGACCAGAACTGGTCTATACCTTTAAGACCTTTGTTACACCATGTAGGTCCATGGTCACACGCAGTTGCCAATCATTAAAGCTAAAGACCAGATATGGTCATGCGATTGCATTCTGAAAAAAACGTTGTGAAATCGATCAGAAAAGGTTGATCATCTAGCATAGATGTACTGCAAGGTTCTGGAATCATCAAAATGATAAGAAATTTGGCCAAGTCTTCATAAAGTTAGAAGTACTGTACACAGAAAGATGTATATGGGACTACACACACGTGCGCGACACGTGCATTTCATATCTCTCAACAGGCGAGAGATACACTAATTTACCAAATATATCAATTAGTAAGTGGTTTCCCGTCAAAATTTTTATCATCATGTAATATTTAAAACATATTCTTTCACATGATTGGTAATAAGAGCTTCCATTTCATTTTTTGAAATTGAGGCGTTTCCAATACTGGTCTTTACCTTTAAAGCTAATCTTTTCATTTGCACACGGTGACCTGTGTTGAGTGAGCACATGGTGTCGGGCCTGCTTCCTTTGATTTCCTTATCTTTCTATGCTCATTACTAAGCCCCTATACATTTTCTACCAAAATCGTTTGGCACATGTAATTTATTTGAATCGTGAAAATTTAGTTTTGTTGGATTCTGTGAGAATTTATTTACTATCACTACCAGGGCCCCGTCTTACATTTAAAGTTGTATCAATCGCAACTTTGTACCAGGCCTGATAAAAACCCGATTTAAATCGGTTTCCCGATTTTTAAAATATTTTTCCCCGATTTTTTTTTTACCAATTTTTTTTTTCTTCCCTATTTTATCCGGATTTTCCCGATTTCCCTCTTATTTTCTCTATTCTTCCCTATTTTGCACTATTTTTCCCCCAATTTTCTTACTTGAAAGAGGGGGAATGTTGTTAGATGCCGTTTTCCCCCACGAATCCTCTTTTTTTTTTTTTTACTCAAGGGGGGGCGTGGTTGAGGGGAAAACAAAAAACCTGTTTTTTTTTTAGTGCTCACTATCACCCCTGCTTTGTACATAAGAGATATGAGACTGCAAACTTGCGATTGATTGGAGGACTTGTGATAGATTTGAATCAATCGTAAGTCTTTGTAGGAAGGGGCCCAGAACTCAAGCTTACAGTATATCTTTAACACTTTAAAAATCCTTCTTTTAGTTCACCAAATCATGAACAGAACAGCTGAATACAACCAGCCTTTAGTTCACCTCTACCAACCCACACGTACCTTCCGATCCTCCAACTCTGGTCTTCTACACATACCGCTTTCAAAGAAATCTTGGGGGGAACGAGCTTTTGCTCATGCCGGACCAGCCCTGTGGAATTCACTTCCACAGGAGCTGAAGAACTCCGACTCTTCTACATCTTTTAAGAGCAACCTTAAATCCCATTTGTTTCATTTTGCGTTTTGAAGACAGACATTCATTCTTTCATTTTTGCATTTTCTTTCTTATGTAAATGTACACGATTCTTTGTCTTGATGTAATGTGTTTTGAAGCGCCTTGAGCATTTAATTAAAATGGATAATGGTGCTATAGAAATCTTATGTATTATTATTATTATTACAAATTCACCATGTTTTGTTGTTGTTGCAGTTTACTGTGTCATATCTGAACATGCCTGAGGACCCATGAAAAGTGGTATAATTATTCTCTCTTCTCTTCTCTCTACTCTTTTCAGATCAAGCTAGTCAACCTGTACGAGGATGACTTCAACGTCTACCTTCAACTAGAGCTGGTGACAGGTGGTGAACTCTTTGAGAGGATCGTGGAGCGAGGTTACTACAGCGAGAGGGATGCAGCCAGGTGTGTCAGGGAGATCTGCCAAGCTGTTTCGGTGAGTATATGCACGTACATTGATTCATTTATTCATCTTCTACCAAGGATGAAAGAGGAGGGAGGGAAGTAGAACACAGAGAGGGGTGGAGGGGTCATGAAAGGCTACAGCCTGTAAGACCAGCAACCTCTGTTTTGCTGGCCTTTTTTTTAAAGGATTCACTAGACCGACAGCCTAAGAGATTGTTTTTTCTATCATCCCTCATGTATTTTTTTTGGGGGGGGGGGGTCAGGGGCTGAGGGTATCTTGGACATTTGGTCTCATGACCTTTTGAAACTTTCTTCTTTCTATACTTTCATATGTCATTTTTCTTTTATAATGTCTTGTAGATCTTTTGTCAATGTCGGTCGTGTGGAGTGTGGACTATTGGTATTTTTGGATGACCCCAGAATTGAAACATGACAGAAATAGTAGTTTGTCACAAAAATCTGCTAAGTAGTTTCATTGAGTACACGTTCATTTGTTTTCAATGTATGAAAGGGGATGTCGAAAATGAGAAGAAAAGGATTAAAGTTGAGCAGAGCATAGATAAAGAAGAGGGAGGGAGGGAGTATTTTTGAAAGAGGAGAGAACAGAAACAATAAAACCATGACAGAAATTTGTGATAAAATAATAAAAAAATTGTGATTTAAAGGTACTACATGTATGTCCCTTTTGCAGCCAACCTCAAATGCTGTAGAACTTTGCAGGAATTATGAATATGTCATGTATGTCCTATCTCTGAATATGAGTGTCCTCATATTCAAATTATGCAAGGAAAACCGTTTACTTGCTAGACTTCACTGTCAGACACTATTGAGTGACTGACTGGCTTTTTTTCTTCTTTGGTAATAACATACATGAAAAGAGTTGTAAAGGGTACATGAGTATTTGTCTACATCAATAACCCACTTTTTGTGATGGCCATGCAAGATTAAACTGATTGAATCTTTGCGCAGCATAAAACGTATGACCATTCGATACAATTGTCTGAAAATCAAGACTATTACTTTTGGGCTCTATAGCCCTAAAGTCGATTTGACAACTAATAGTCGTTATTTTCCCACTTGAAGACATTTTCAAGCCCCACCTTTTTTAGGGAAGTTCTAAATTAGTATTATTTTTCAAATGCAGTTGGAATTTAACTTTTTCATTTTTTTTGGCCTGCAAATGGGACATAGTCCCTTTAACATAAATCTCAAATTAATTTGATATTTTGAATGCAAAAAAAGTGAAGTTAAAAATCTGTATATACATCAGCAACCGGAAAAAAAAATCATCAAACAAACTTTATACAACATCATATTTCTCTGGAAAAAATATGAATTAAAATTAGCAGTGATATTGCCAACACTGGCTTCTTGCAATCTCATTTACCTCATTAAATGAAATTTTCACCGTTATCGCATAATTTTACATTCCTTGATAGAAATCATTTTCTATTAAACAGCTTTGTTGTGTTTTGATGGTTAATTTGAGATTTTTGCAATTCGATCTAAAGGAAAAGATGTATTTAATGACATAACTGAAGTTTGTTTGGAATGAGGAAGATGATATGAGGAACAATGATTGCACAAAGGGAAGTGCATGGAGTATATGTTTATATAAAAGGACTGAAACAATAATGCATGTCTTTTGTTTCATCTTTTGATGAGAATTCTATAGCAAAAAGGTGATAAAGAGTGTAACTATATTCCAATCTCATAGAAATAGTAATATTTAATAATAGTTATTTCAGACCCCTCCATCATTTTTATTCTCCTTTCAACTTCCTTTTCCTCCTATGAGCTAATTTACCTTTGCTCTTCTCAGTACTTCTTCTAATAATACTTCTTACCGAAGTTTGAATATTACTTCAACTACAATTAATTGAAAGCAGAACTATAAACTGTTTATGAAAACATAAACACACTTAATGAAAGCAATTAAAGGACACAAAATGGAAAACAAATGTGTAGATACAACTGTCATACATCTTGGGCATCTCGAGTTTGAACATGAGACAGAAACGATACATGATATGGTAATATTGCAAGCTTATGAAAACATAAACACACTTAATGAAAGCAATTAAAGGACACAAAATGGAAAACAAATGTGTAGATACAACTGTCATACATCTTGGGCAACTTGAGTTTGAACATGAGACAGAAACGATACATGATATGGTAATAGTGCAACCTGGATTACATTTACATGTACATCTTTTGGAAGTCAAAGTCGAATTCATAGGCAAAGTCAACAATCAACAATCAAAACAATAACAAAACAAAAAAACAACAATCAACACAATCAAGATCCACATTCAACAATCAAATAGAATATTTGACATCATCTTTAAAACATCTCCGGACTGTAATTGAGATCTGTGGGAAGGTGGATCAAAGCAGCAAGCATTGATGACCGACAGTAACCCACCCACCGTGGGAGAAGATGATATTTCTTGGGTGATAAAAACCTGATAGCGGGAGGGAAGCGGATCATTCATCGCGCCTTCCTTAATGAGAAAATGGCAGTCGAGTGCGACACCAAAAGTCTGCTGGAGTGTCGCAGCCGACAGATAGGCATGGCCTGTATAATACACACATGTTGTGTTTACCGGACCGATTGTCACCCTGTACCATGTAAATGGGTTATAATCAAGGTGAAAGAAAGTCCAAGTGTTCATTTCAATTTTTCATCCGTGTGAGGCAACTTCCAATCAAAGTTGTGTTTGAGAAGGTGCCAAACACAGTTAATTCAATCTTTGCATGTAATTGATGTACATGTACTTGCCCATAATTTACAATCAACATGGTCTATTTTTTTATATTCTTTTTTACCTGGGTCAATAATTTTTAAAAATTTAAAGCTTGATACTGTTCTTTATAAATGCCCACACTACCCTGCCTGCCATGATGTACAAATCAGAGAAGTATGTTTTAACCAGAAGTTGTACAATCCATTAGCCAATTTGTCAATTCATCTACTTTATAATGTATGCTCCACCTGTAGTACTGTACCATTCTATCTGCTCTAGACACACTGGTTGTGTGTACGTCCCTCATTAATCTATGTACATTTGCTCATCAAATGTACTCAAGAAGTGCTTAATAGGTGATAACTTACATAAACTCCCTTTGAAAATTGTACAACAATGATCGCACAAGGTGAGATTTGGTTATATAACAACACTTCATTAACACTAGGTTCATAATAGCCCCTAGATAAGGAAATATTGACACATAGAAGCCTAGGGTTGCTTGGCAAGGTGACAGAAATGGGGCTGTTAAGTATCAATATTGATTTCTCCGTCTTTCAGGGGGGGGGGGGGGGGATGCAGTCCCCTTTATTTCAATGGTTGTATACACTGCTGTGAATCTACATGTACATTTTTAAACTGGTTTGCATACAACATATATATTGTTACATCTACAGAGAGATTATTAATAACAATAAAAATCTGAAAGAGAGATGTAAATATGACCAACAAAGGACCTCAGTAACAAGGGCATCAACTTGAGGGAGGGGGTGGAAAGGGTTTTATCATCTTATTTCCATCTTTCGTTCCCCTTCCTATCTTCTCTTATCTTCCCCAAATGTTTTCTTTCGAAATGGAGGGCATGTGGCTCCCTGTAGCCTGTTCCCCCGTAGCCACAACACTGGTTGAAATAAAATTTAAGGTTAAGTCTCTCTCTCTCTCTCTCTCTCTCTTTCTGCAGTATCTACATGATCATGACATCGTGCACAGAGATCTGAAGCCAGAGAACCTCCTGTACGCCGATATGGGCGACGAAGCACCCCTCAAACTGGCCGACTTTGGCCTTTCAAAGATCATCGACCAAGATGTTTCGATGAAGACCGTTTGCGGAACACCTGGTTACTGTGGTATGTGAAGAATGTTTATTTATTATCGTAATAATCCGAATTATACGTAAATATTTACGCAGGTGAGAAATGTCATGCATAAAACGGTTGACTGTGGTAGCAGAGACATTTCGAGCTTGATCGAGTCTGCATGTACATGTTTGGAAAAATGCATGTTATTCCAGAATTAGACTTTTAGACTACAATGGGCAGAAATTGATAGACAATATGGGTAAAGGGGGAGGGGGGAGGGAGGGAGGGGGAACACAGTATCGAATTCCAACCATGATTTGTTTGTCCATTATGTTGCCTCTCCCCCACTCAATTCACTCAAAATTGAGTGCTTTTTGGGGCTTGTCAGAGAATATTGGAGGAAATAGTTAGGTACCATATAAAATCTATGTTCTGAAGCAGGGCATTTTTCTGCATTGCCTCCAATGACTGGGGTAAAAATACACTCTAAAGTAATTTGATCACTTTCTTAGTTGGAAAGGTTCTTTATAAAGGTATTTCTAAACAAATATTTACAGTGATTTTTGCTTGTTTGTCTCTGCAGCACCGGAAGTCCTGTGTGGGAAGCCATACTGCAAGGCAGTGGATATGTGGAGTGTAGGAGTGATCACCTACATCCTCCTGTGTGGCTTCGAACCATTCTACGATGACAGAGGAGATAACTACATCTACAAGAAGATCATCAGAGCAGACTATGCCTTCATCTCACCGTGGTGGGACGATATCTCCGATAGCGCCAAGGTAAATGATTAGTGGTTGTAGAATCTTAAAGTATTTGTGAAAAAAAAGTTGAAAAAATTGAGCGAACATTAGATGAAAAGATGAAAAGAAGTTCAGTCAAACTACAAAGACCACATTTTTTGTTCCCTTGACAAAGTTTTTTTTCTTGAAACATGTACTAAAGGAACCTGTTTACAAAGACATGAAAACAAGTTCAATCAAACTTGCTTAAGTGACCACCTGTCTACAAAGACTGCATTTTTTGTTACCCTTGAAAATGGTTTCTCATTGAAACATGTACTTAAGGAACCTGTCTACAAAGGCCACTTTTGTCTTTCCCTTGGGCGGTCGCTATAGACGGGTTTGACTGTATGAGTGATCTATTCCAAGTTGTATTCATCTGAATCAATGTGTCAAAAGGATTAAATTTCCTTCTAAGGGGTTGCCTTCAATTTTGTTTTGTACTAATTAATGATTCATAAGGAAATCAATTTAGAGGTGACATGGTTGAATGATTTAAAGCACTTGAACAAAGATCTGAAGGGCAAGGGTTCTAACCTCTGTGTGGCCCAAGTGTCCTGGTGACAAGGATTAATGCCTTACCAAAGGGCAGTAGCGCATCCACTTGTTTTTCGAACCCGGGTCGCCGGAATAAGAGACCACTGCTCTACCAACTGAGCTATTGTCATTTTTTTTTTCTTCTTCTCATTATAGGATTTTATTGACAGACTTCTGGTGACGGACCCCAAGAAGAGACTATGCGCAGAGGGCGCCCTTCATCACCCATGGGTCAGGGAAGAGAACAGCGCAGCCAGTACCAAGAACATACCATGCACAACCATTGAGAACATCAAGGAATTCAATGCCAAGAGAAAACTGAAGGTACAGGACTATAAGAGGATGAGGCCGACGGAGGTGTTACCGTATGTGGTGGTGGTGGTGGTGGTGTTGGTGTTGGTGTTGGTGTTGGTGTTGGTGTTGGTGTTGGTGTTGGTGTTGGTGTTGGTGTTGGTGTTGGTGTTGGTGTTGGTGTTGGTGTTGGTGTTGGTGCTGGTGTTGTTGTTGGTGTTGTTGTTGGTGTTGGTGTTGGTGTTGGTGTTGGTGTTGGTGTTGGTGTTGGTGTTGGTGTTGGTGTTGGTGTTGGTGATGATGGTGATGGTGATGGTGATAATGATAATGAAGATGATGATGGAAAGAAATGGTCCACAATTCTTTGCCGCTTAAACAAAATATCATACATGTAGTTCATACCGGTAGTTCATTTTTATTTCTTCTTTCACGAGCTTTTGCACATCAGATTTCAAAAACGAAAGACAAAGTACCAGAACAGCAGATTATCAACATAACGAACATATTTGAAGTGCAATATTAATATTCAACATACAACTTGTGTCATTAACAAAACAAATTCTATGAAAAGTTACTTATGTAAGATCATGTTTTGTACATGAAAGAAAGAGAGACCTTATAGAAGCTGGGCTTGTTAGAGCGAGGTCCTCAAACAGAAAAGCCTACAAACAAATCATGTTCTCATTCAAAATATATCAGGCTTTAAAGTTAGTCCTTAGATGTTGCTGTCCTTATGGTAGCAGATAGCTAGTTATGTAGAAGATGGCAATTTAATGCTTCCATGGTCAATTCCATTCAAATTTGTCCTATACCGCTCAAAACATGACCTAGAAATTCCCACAACCAGGGATGCAGAAACTGAAACAGAATATGAAATGTGACTTTAATGATCTGTGTCAAGAATGTTTTCATGGCCACTGGTTCGAAAAGGGGACAAAATACATTTCATGCTGTGTAGTCAGCAGGAAGGCAGCCTGTAATTTTAATTGGCATGCTTTAATACATGTTTGTAGGGTAGATGTATACTTATTCTAAAGGCGCAGAGAGAGAGAGAGAGAGAGAAAGAGAGTTAATCATGCCCCCTGCTTGCAATGTAAATTAATATTGATATGAGAGCGCTATAATTGCCCTTGCAACTTCATTAAAGACAGCTACTTCACCCGATCCTGTGTAATGACTGAGGAGATCAAATATTATATGATAAACCGAGGATATCTTCAAAGATATATTCAGAAATCAAGTCAATTATGTTGCATTTGCTCTCTTTGCTCACTGATATCCTGACATGTACACTGTATCATTTGCTCCATCTTCAAATCCAAATTGTTTAAAATACTTAGATTCAGGGACATGTATCTTGTGCATGGTCTCCGAATTCACATCTATTTTGCTAAATATCCTGACATGTATTATGTGCCCAATCTCCACATTGATATATATTACACTTTGCAATTCTAACATGAATTGTGTGCACCATCTCCTTCCTTTCTCTCCCCCCCCCCTCCAGGCTGTAGCAGCAGCAGTGATTGCAATGCAGCGCCTAGGAGCCATGGGTGAGATCATCCCCGCCTTCGCTGCCGCCTCCGGAGGCTCCGAAGCAACCACCATGAAAGGAGCCGTTATGGCGGCCGCAGCGACAGCCTCTGCAGCAGAATAGAGGGCACCAGACCCTTCCACGAGATGAGATGAGAGTCCCCTTCCTTATCCGCATGTGTTACAGCTTCAGAAACGTTGGGTCAAACCTGTATACAAAGATCGTTCAAGGTGAACAAGAAAAGCTGTCTTTTAAAGCCCCACTGCACAACTTATAGCTACTTGGGCCCTCTATATTGCAAAGAATGCCTAATCGGTGCCTGTTGGTCCCCCATGATCCTCTTTTTTGATGTGAATTGAGAGCTGATTTGATGAGATAACCACCTGTCAGTGACCTTGCAGGGAAGCCTAATCTTCCTGGCTAAAATAGTGCAGACAGGCTTTAAGGTGAACAAGAAAAGCTGTCTTTAAGGTAAACGTAGGTTCCCTTTTAAAAAGGTTTCAGTTAGAAGCACTGTTCAAGGAAACAAATTTACTTTTTATTGACAGGTTTTATTTGTCATACAGCTCCACTTAATACAGTTTCATTAATAAACACTGCTCAATGTAAACACTAAATGTGGTCTTTATAAACAGATGTTCTTTATATACAGGTTCACTTGTACTGGTTTCATAGAGAAATGCTGTTCAAGGGAAAACCAAATTTGTGGTCTTTAAAGAAAAGTTGTTGTTTAAGAAGGTTTTACTTATTGAGCCCTGTAGATGTTTATAATGTCATGTTGTTTCAGTGTGACCTTTCTACAGTCTGATACAGTCAAACATATGACATTTTCCTCCAATGGTAAAAGGTAAATAGGTAAAAAAGTTGATAAGTTTCTATCGAATCTCTTCATCTGAACTCACCATTCAGAAAGTACATTCCACATAAGGACCTTTCATGTTCTTAGGCTAGGTTAACAATACCTGAGCCCTGTTCCATAAACTTGTAAAACCTATCATCGATACCAAATTTCCATAATTAATAATAGATCCAAATTTAAGAGAGCAAATGTGTCAAAGAACATTTGGTACATATTATTGGTAACAACCTTTAGGGTGGTAATGTTGTAAACATACAATGAAATAAATGATGATGTTTTAGTAAAAACCATACATGTCCACACTGAATTGGTTGTTCCTAGCCAAGGTATTTAAATATTATTGCCTTTCTCAACCCAGGGAATAAAAATGGTACATGGTATGTGCCAAACCATTGCGCTTATTCAGGCATTGGTATCAGTATCATTACTTAAAGCAAGGATTGGATCTCAATATCATTTTCAAACAGTATTTATTGTAAAGAGCAAGATTTACAGCCGTCTTAAATTTTTTGATTCTATAAAAAAAATCACCCGTAGAATATCCTGGGTTTGCCTTTTTTATTGAATAGTTGTGTGGAGATATGACGTACCAAAGTATTAAGAAAAGTACAACAGGAGTGTGATTTCAAGGTTTTAATTCGAATTGGTATCAACATTCTTCTTGTTTTGGAAAATTATTTGATGAAAGGAAGACATCTCTTGTTGATTGGGTACTCACATTTGTTGGTACTCGATGGAGTTGGAATGTATGAAGTGGATGAGCTTTGCATTCTTACGCAGTTATTAATGCGGGTGAAAAAAAATCAGTACAGACAGTGGTGATCTGAAAATTGGCAACAAAGGGGACATTTTCCTACATCTTCTACCCCTTCCTTTGAGAATGTAAGAAAGAAGTGCAATTCATTCTGAAAATAGAAAACTGAGAAATTGCTCTTTGAGAAAGAGGGAAAAATAATTCCCATAATATTGCATAAGATGTACATGTACTTATATATTTTTTAAGCCAAGAGCAGATAACGTTTTTGAGATTTGACAATGTTGGGGAAATATTACGTGAGTCAAGAATACTTATTTGTGGTTTTTAAGATCAAACCTACCACTATTTTATGAATATATATACCTGTATATATTTAAATGCATTTCAGCACATGTAAATATTATGCAGGAAATCTTCTACTTGTAAATGATTTTCTCAATGTTTTTTATCATTTGGCTAAAAAGATGGTCCTCTCTGTAGTGAGAAATGGATCATCTCACGGGTTGTGTAGAAATGTGTCGTCGGCGCTGGAGATACATTTTCTGTCCTCTTCAAAGAAAAAAGTTGAAAATAATCGGAATGTGCTGCTTTTGAATGATTGCATTTTATAGGTACATGTAGATTTGAGTTATGTTAATCTAACTGCACATTGGGAGTAGTTCTGTAGAAGTTTGTGGGATTGGTGATCGCATTGTAAAATATGTACTATCCCAGCTTATGAGACCATTGAAATGTTAACCTAATCTTTTCAAAACTTTCTGATAGTTGATATACACTGAAATTCACCGAGACGGGTACGCACATATTGGACATTGTGTTTTAATACTCTCCTCCATAACCCTCATCTCTTTTGGTTTATTTTACTTGACAAATTTTAAATATTCATATTTCATAAAATTCAATGTGAATTCAATTTTATTATATCAAAGTCACATATTTTTTATTATTATTGGAACTGAAGATGGCAATGAAAAGTCAGATTAAAAAAAAAAAAAAAAAAAAAAAAAAATCACATATGGGCAACTGGTAAAGTACCTAAGGCTCGATGTACTCATGCAAATAAATCCATCCCTTTTCCACAAATTGTTATAATGCTACAACATAACTATCCTATGGTGCTCATGATAAAAATGAAACTTATTTATCCCTTCTCCCAACATTTAATTTTTAAGCTTATCCCCAGTCTTAGCATGTAAATTTGCTGGTTTTAATACTCTCCTGACATCGTGGTTTTGAGACAGGGGGACTCTTCTCATCATGGTTCAAGGGTCAAAGTTCAAAGTTCAACATTATTTTCTCTTATTTTTGTACTTCTTTGTGTGTATTCATTCCCTCTCTCCACAACCCAAAGGTTTATGTGCATTCCATATCAGCCTGTCGTGTCTTCTTACTACGCTCTGTGTTTTATTTTCTGATTTTTGTTTCCTCTGTATATTTCAAACATATTCGTTCATGTCTGTACTTTACGTTCAAGATCAAAACTGTGTAGAAAAGCACCCTTTTTTGTTTGTTTAAGTCACCAATTGCATGTTCAGTAATAATCTAGAATTTGTGAAATTTCAGTTGGCAATTTCTCCTCTTTCGATTCACAGGGCCCTCTCTGTTTAATATCATGTTTGTTTTGTATGCCACTTTTGTTTTCGTGAAGAAATTCACACAAGTATTGAATTTATGTAAAATGAAACGCAAAAATCTGTTCATACAATGTCTTTTTTTTCCATTCAGAGAGAGTTTTTATAAGTGAAGTGAGTTTGCATGCACGTGTTTTAATCTATTTAGTAACGTTTGATTTCAGTATAATATATATTCTCCCTAGACCATAGACCTAGGGCAAGGTTTTTCTTGGATTTAGTATTCAGCAGGTTAAGGACAATTTTGTTGACTTGCATAGGAATCGACAATTTATATTACCTTTAAATGAACAAACCAAATATTTTAGAAGTTTCAGTCTATGGGCCAATAGTTATTTTGCCCTTTCTGATCCTGTTTAAAAAAAAAAACTTTACAGAATTCTGTTTTAAAACAACTTTTCCTATGAAATATTATAGTTACTTTAAGTATTTGCATCGTAATATTGTTTTATAGTTTCTTAGATCATTATAAACCATGGTTAATAAGTGTATCCCTCAAAATATATTTCAACTTGAATTGCAAATACTTTCTCATTCCTACATTACTAAGAAGAAAAATCAGTGATTGTGTTTAGTACTGCAACATCGTATCTTCATAGGGATTTTTGAAATACATGTTCTCATAAAGTGTTTTAAACATAGTTCACTCTCAAAATCTGAGGTGATGAAATAGTTAGTAGGCTGAAAAGATGATAATCTTTAAAATATTCACCCTTTCCATTGAAAGATTTGCTCAAAGCAAACCAAATGAACATGAGATGTTTGAGTTTCATATAACCCTGTATTTCTTGGTAGTTATATACATCTGTTAACAGTAGTTACTGGTTTAAATTTGTTTTAAATGTCTTTTTTATGAAGCGCATACGGTATGAAATAATCTTGGTCTATATTTATACTTGCTGTGTATATTACTTCTGAGTCATTTGTGGATTCAGGAGATTTGAATGGGGGGGGGGGGGGGGGGCACGCAAGGGGAATTTGCCCAATTTTTGGTCAGTAATTGTCATTCCAGGGGAAGTATGACATTAAAAGCCCCACCCCCCTTCATTTCAAAACCGTATTATGCCACTGCTCTGAGATAATATATTGGTATATCATGTATATATATATATATAGGATATTGTTGTATTTCCTTTGTATATTCCGATGGCTACTTAAAGGTAAAAGAGTCTTGTATTAGTTTTTATATGCTGCTGGGATGGTTAAATACACTGCACCTGTGTCTTCATCTATAGAGTTTATTAGTTAAAAACAAAATCACGTAAAGTGTTACCTTTATGCAAATTTAGTCAATTACACACAGGCTTATTCTGACCAAAGTTTTATCTTTAAGGTATTATATGAGAAGTATATATAAGACGTATTATGAAACAAGTATCACCCTTTATCTATATCATGAAACAATTTTTGAACTCTGATCATGTGTCAGTACTATACATGTGTCTGTATTATCAAAATTATCCGAGACGCTTTACATCAAGGTTAGCTATAATGATCATGTGACCTAGTAATTAACATAGTAATACACAGTAGTGGTCTGGGTTGATATGGCCGAAACAACTTTTCTTGAAGCATTTTGGGTGTTGGAAAACAAAAATCGATAACCAGTTTAAGCAGGGGTTTTCTGTTTAGTGGGACAACTCTCTTTCTTTGTTTGAATTAATTTTTCTAATTTTAGGAGTTCCAAATATTTTGGTTGTTTTGAAATTACTTTTAGAATTTAAAGGAACAAAATATGTTTTTTTTGAAAATTTGTTTTACAAACATAACTGGAAGTCTGTATTTGAATTTCAAAAATAATTCTAACAAAGATTTGATCAATAAATCCTAGAAATTAGAGCTTGTGATTTCCCTGAACTGCAGGTGTTGTTCTAGGGGTTGTGTTTCACCACCAAAGGTGTATCCACAAAATCGGAAAATTGAGGAAATCTAATCATTGACCTTCTGATCTTTGCCAACACTCTGTAATACCTTCAAGAATTTGCAGCAAAACAAAACCGTAAAAAAATCAAATCAGTTTCAGCTTGATTAAACAAATTGGTGTGATGTTGTAACGATCATTATAAAGGAATTATTGTGGCATATTTTCATCAGTGTCACGTATTTATTTAACCAAATTTAGATAGAAAGGGAACAATGCTTTTTGAAATCTATGTTTATTAGTGTATTGATATCTGCCATGTTAATATAGATGTGTACAATTGGCACTCCTTTATTCTCGACGCTATATTTCTTATTCAAAAGACTATATTTAGAACAGGCACTATGCAGTCGGTATTATATGAGTAGCGTTGTGTCTTTATAAGCTCCTTTGTTTCTGAAAGCGATATTGATTCATTTACTGGTGGTAGCCTTGGCTGGTTGAATAGGGAATTTATGTCAAGCGTAGGAAGAATAATACTTATTTTAATGAGAGTATTATAATGCTTATTATGAGTATGGTATGGTATTGTTTATTCCCAATCAGATTAAATTTTGACTGTTGAGAACCAAAAAGGAGTTAGCTTTGTGTTAAAGTACATGTAACTTAATGTCCTTTTGGCTCAAAAGGAACTGTTTCATGAATTAAAAGTTGGCCCTTTACCTGTCAATTTTTTTTTCCTTCTGAATAAGATAGAAGAAGTTGATGTAATATTTTTATAATACATTATTTAGTATAAATGTTAGATATATGATATTCTATATCAATGTGAAAAAGAACCATCCACCCTATTTTGTATACCTTTTGTTGTGCGGTGCCCATTATGAAAACAGTTGATATATTTATATTCAGATAGTATTAAAATGAGATAATTGAAATTGACATTGAGATTTATGATATATATACAGTAGTTGATATCCATTTGAGTTCAAGCTGCCGAGTGATACACTAATACTACAGGTGTGTGTTCTAAAGTTAAAGTGATCATGATCGTTTTTTCCATTTCTTACAGCATTCTCATAAATACATTTGTGGATGCAACAAGTCTGTCTATTTTGTATCCATGAAGACATTGCAATCAGGTGTGCTAATGGGGAATTGCCTTTAACGTTCCGTTTATGATGTAATGCATTTCCATCTAATCCCAAGAATAAGACTTAAATTGTTACTTAATATTTGATAACTTTTCATTACCATAATTATTAGATTATATGTTTATGAAGAGCTATATTAATGTCATTTGAGTAAAATACATTTTGATACAAATTTGCTGTTTGATTTTAAGCTTTCTCCATGAAAACCAAAGTAATTTGAAGACAATTTCTGATGGATTATTTGTTACTATTAGCCAGATGCTTTTAATTAAAGTATCTTTGATAAATTAGGTTTTTTAAATTCATTGCTGTGATAAAGAGTACCTCTTCCATATTTATGCACGTTTTTATAAGATTTTGGCTGAGAAAAATGCAATTTGTTCATTTTTATTTTCTATGTATTTCTTCACCCATTATGCATAGCAAACTAAAAAATCATCAGGTTTTTTTTCTGTCTTCATTACTCACGATAATTCTTTTTATTTGTATTGACTCTTTTTTCAAAAAACTGTAGAATTATCGAGATCACAATGTAATGCTGTTTGCGTAATTCTGTAAATTGTAAGTGTTGGGAGGGATACTTGCTCTTTTAATGTACATACATGTGAGTAGACACTTTTACAGCACTGAACGTTTTTAGAATTCTTATACGAATGGTGTAAATATACAAGTCCAGAATCACGTCTCATTGTGTGTGCATCTATCCAGAAATGTTATAAGTTTGATATTATTAGAAGGTCTATTAAAAAAGTACACATTCGATATCAAATTCTTCATGGGGTATATAGTTTTATTTTGTTATTTGTATACATATACACGTATATGATAATCATTGAAAAAATGTTATGATATGAACAAGATCAGTAAGAGAGAGAGTGGTGTGTGTGTGTGGGTGTATGTGTGTGTGTGGGGGGGGGGGGGGCTGGGATGATCAGGAGAGACATACAGACAAAAATGAGATACTGCGTAAGGGGGGGGGGGTATAAAGAGAGAGAGAGAGGGGGAGAGGGGAGGGGGGATGGGTCGATCAGGAGAGTAGAGAAAGACGGACAAAACTGAGATCTTGTGTAAGAGAGACAGATAGTGAGAGAGAGAGAGAGAGAGAGAGAGAAGAAGAAGAAAACTTGAGAGTGAGAGAGAGAGAGAGAGAGAGAGAGAGAGAGAGAGTGGATGTGAGCGTGAGTGTGTGTGTAAGAGAGAGATAGAGAGAGAGAGAGAGAGAGAGAAGGAAAGAGGGAAAGCAAAAGAAGGGGTGAAAAAGAAAAGAAATAGAACAAAGATGGCGCACTTGTCATCTGAAGTGAAACAACATATAAGCAAATTATCCTGATAAATACGATAACGTTTTTTTTTTTGCGTGATGAAATAAATGTACAGTTACGTAGAAAACAATTAACATAATTAATGAATCAAGATTTATATACATTTCACTTTGGTAGTATGTCATAAATCTTTATTATAATCAATTACTATATATGACAACTTTAAAGGTAAAATGCTGTAAATTTCAAGTTCATCTCATGGTATGTGAAACAAAGACTAACGTGGATAAAATAACATCTTGATGAAGAATTCAAATTGATAATTAAGAGGTCTTTGCCGAATCTACATAGGCACACTTCACAGGATACAATATACTTGTCTAGTCCAAATGAAATTTATGTATTACGTATACATGACTGGGATAACTTATATGGACGTATTTATTTATGTTAGCATGGCTAGCAAAAAGAAGTAAGGATGCCATTGGTAATAAAATAGAAGTAAATTAATACAATCATGATTATGCTGACATCGAATTTTGTCACGACACTGTACCAACTGTTAATCCAAGTATAAGAGGATGTAAGTAGGCTAATATAGACATTATTCAACACATCAAACTAGAGTTAAACACAATTTCTTGACGGATTCAGATTCTCTTGGTGTGGAGGGGGGGGGGGTGGGGAGGGGGGGTCCCATGTGCCTCTGGACCCGCCCTTGTAATTATGAAAATATACTAATAGGAACAATCAACTTTTTCCTATGCACACTGTCACTTTTACGTATGGTACCTTAAAGATAAAGTCGATCTCTGGCCATACAATCTTCATGAAAGATTGATTATAGGATAAATAGGGATTGGTATATAATGTGAGATTTTGTAACTTCAAGTTTATGGGAACAAACAAAATATTGTAATGAAAAGCACATGCACTGCACACCTACCGGTAAAGGGTATATGGAATTACACAAACCTGTGTCTTGACTGTTTGGTCAAAACATTTTAGACACACAATTTGAATATGAAGGCAATTGAAGATCAGTCCTTTTGCAGGGTACATTTCTAATGTGATTATTTTTTTTCAAACTAAGGAACAAAGAAAACTCACAAATTATTTTTAATCGGCCTTTACCAGAACTAAACGAACCCTCTCTTTAAGCTTTACTCGATCCGTTTGTTTCGGCGGGGTTGTTGAAGTTCCCGGTAGGGTCGTTATGAGCCCCTGCCGCACCCCTTGGTGTCACACCAGCATGGGTGTCGATCCCGGGGGGGATGGGGGGATATATCCCCCCCAATATTTCAGGTGGGGGGGATGGCCTGTACAATCATCCCCCCCAATAATTCACCATCAAAAAAAAAAATGAAGAGAAAAATGAATCATGAGAGCCCGATGAGAGTAGTTAATGGTTATTACTCGCAAGATGACCATCAATATACACATTTTGCTATCTTATTTTTATAATACATACATATATATACGAAGTAAATAAGACAACAGTATATGAGACAAGAATAAATTGAATTCTCGCTCATATGGCTTCATCAGGAATTGATGAATTTATTCAATTTGTTCAATCAACAGCATCATAGAAATGCAGTGCGCCAAATGCAAAGACGCAGCGTCAAAAAGCAACGAGCTAAATGTTAAGCGCGAGGCCCAAAAGTAGCAATCTGCAATGCACACCAGACAATCCTGGACAGTGTAAACATAGATGAACTCTGCGACGATTTCGATATGAGATCGGAGACAGATTTTCGGACATTAGTATGACTTATAAAATAGTTCACTAGTTGTTATGTTGTTTCCGTTCACCCTTTTTAAAATTCATGTCATTGTATCTTTATTTTTATTTTTTTTCACTCTTTTTATTTCCTGATATTTCCTAAAATATTTTTCATTTTTGGAGAAAGATTATTATGTCACAACTTATTTGTGACACAACTTATTTTCAGTGGGGAAACTTAATTCAGACAAGGATTAATATAGAGAACAGTACAACGAATCGTCTTCTTTCTCTAATAAGTTAGTGAAGAGGGAAAAGCTGTTAGGGGGAACTGAATTCAGACCTGGATTAAGAGTAATAATCTAATGAAACGTTAGAGCTCCCGCGCTACGCGCGGGGGAAGGGGAACTTGATTTAAACGTTAAGGATTAAGAGTCAAGAATGGTACAACGAATCGTCTTCTTTCTCTAATAATTCAGTGAAAAGAGCAAAACTGTTAGGGGGAACTGAATTCAGACCTGGATTAAGAGTAATAATCAAATGAAACTTCAAAGTACACGATACAACATATCATCTTTTTTTACTAATAATTTAATGAAACGTGAAAGCTTCCGCGCTACGCGCGGAATGGGCGAAAATGAATACAGACAAGGATTAAGAGTAATAATTTATTGAAACGTTGAAGATTCCGCGCTTCGCGCGGTAGGGGGTAACTGAATTCATGAAGGTCACGGTACAACAAATCATCCTCATTCTCTAATAATGTAATAAAATGTGAAAGCTTCCGCGCTTCGCGCAGGAATGGGCGAAAATGAATTAAGACAAGGATTAAGAGTCGAGAATGATACATATAATCGTCTTCTTTCTTTAATAATCTAATGAAACGTCAGAGCTTCCGCGCTACGTGCGGAGGAAGGGGAACTTGATTCAAACAAGAATTAAGAGTTGAGAATGGTACATCGAATCGTCTTCTTTCTTTAATAATCTAATGAAACGTCAGAGCTTCCGCGCTACGCGCGGAGGAAGGGGTGCAACTTGCCACATGCTTCAACCTCTTGGTTGCTTTTATCCATTGCCGAAAATATTTTGGTACCTATCATCCCCCCCAACCACGGATACAAATCGACACCCTTGCACACCAGAGAAGGGTATCTCATCCAGCCGCTCGTTCTTGTAGCTAATCCCGAACGGCATTGCCGCCCCGGAGCGGAACTTGCAAACGAGGACGATCACGACGACGGCGATAACGGCGATGACGGCGACGGTGACTCCGACGATGATGCCGAGTTTGGAGTTGCCGGGTTTCGGTACGCCTTGCGGGGGAGTGGTGTTGGTGATCATTGGCCCGGTCGTGGCAGTCGTAGGTTGCGCTATCGTGGTCGGAGAGGGCCTGGTGGTTGGAGGGTTGGTCGGGGGTGGTATGTCTAGTTCATTTAAAGAGGAAGATTATTTATTGATAACGCAAGGCATCTTAAAGCCATCCTGAAAAGTGTTGAGAGCCCCCAATTCGCCAAATATTCGATGGAAATTTTTTATTTAAATTGTATCATAATGGGAAAAGAGGATGTCATTTTTTACCTGCACTAGTTTGGCCAGGAGGGGTTTAGACCTCCCTGCGTGGTCACTGGCAGGTGGTTATCTCATCAAATCAGCTCTCATTAACATAAGAAACAGGGAACCAAGGGGACCAACGGGTACTGCTTAGGCATTGTTTGCTATATAGAGGGCGCAAGTAGCTTAAAGTAACGCAGTCCCGCTTTAAGACATACTTCTGCAGATATTCGATAAAAGAATACATATTTTGGGTTTTCCGTTGTACGCAGAAAACCTCAAGTGTGTAATCTTTCAGCAATAATCGACTTAAACACATTTGTTTTGAAAATCCTTGCCGAAATGTGTTTTAAATGACATCCTCTTTCACATTATTATACATTAATTTAATTGAAATTTTGCCATCAAAATGTGTGCGGCTCCCAACACTTTAGAGGGGCTTTTACTCAAAGCATTGGTAAAGAATAATATAGCGCAAAACGTTACACATAAAACGTCATAGTGGAGACAGAGGACAATGGACAAGAAATGGACTTGAATGTGTTTCATCATAGATAAATTACCACACTATTCCCACACTGTGGAACATGACGTAATACAGTGTAATCACAGTGAAATTTATAGAGTGTACACACTTCAGTTTAACAATAGAGAAACAAAAATAGGTACAATGGAACGTAACTGTGGTTTTTATTATGTGTATACAATTATGAAAACTACTCCCACGGTATAACACATTATAATACACTGTGGCTATAGAACTTTGTTTACACAGTGAACACTTCAATATTAATTTGACCATAAAGGGGATTTGGTAAAACAGACTGTGCAAATAATATGGATATGATGTGATCACCCCATGTACACACTGTGGCAAATATTGAGATCAATGTGCACTGTGGCTACATAACCTGACAGAGTTTACGCCCACAGCATTACCACAGGGACATAAAAAACACAAGTTGAGGTCTACGTGCACTGTGGCCACATAATGAGACAAAATTTACGCCCAAAGCATTTACCACAGAGACAATTTAAAAAAAAAAACAGCCACAGTGTGGCAGTTTGAACAATTTATCTTCGCAGTTCTCTCTCACCATTTGACACAATGATTCTGCTGTCTGGTGTAGAAAATAAACGCCCAATTCAACGCCTATATTATCATTTTAGAGTAATATTTTTGTCCATATCCATGTTTTTATAATATATAGGCCTAACTGTTATCAGTATTGGTCAAATGATAAGACATACAGCTCAAGATAGTAAAAAGTTCAATGATGGGAATGAAAGTCGCAGACTGAAACAAGTATCAATTTTAAAAGAAAACATAAACAAACAAAGAAACAAACATGACAACAAACAATACGAATCCTCACATTTTGCGCAGGATTCCAGTTGTGTCGTGACGATGACATTGTCGATAGCCAGTATTCCGCCTATCCCCGCGGTAGCCGTAAAAACAAACTGAAAGTAGTAAAAAAAGAAAAAACCCAAAACATCCGATATTGAATAATGAATGCGAATCAAGTTTGCAACAGTCATATGAAAACTTTAAAAAATGTATTTGATCATGAAATATATTAACTAGATTTTGAGTAAAAGGTGACTCAAAATTATACTTTCAGTGCTAAAACTTTCTCTTTCCGATTTGCTCGCTTGATTTTCGAGCTTAAATTGATCAGTTGTAAATGTTTAATATTGAAGATCTACTTGCATTTAAACAAAAAATTCGTTGTGCCCCCTTAAATCCGCCAGTGGGTGAACTAACCTGAAAAGGCTTGGTGGTTAACGTCACAGGGAGGGACCAGTTTCCACGGAACCAACTACTGCCCAAATCTCCCGAGAGCGTTCCCACTGCGTGTTTTTTGCCGTTGCCTTTCTCCATGGCTTCAATCAGGATCTGTTGACCGCTGTCATCGGTGAGTATGAGGTCAGCGGTCAAGCAGTGGTCCACGCCCAGGAGATCGTGAACCTGGGAGTACAGGGTGGCCTTCTTGTTCATGTTCGAAGCGGAACCCTCGACGTACATGAAAGAAGTCGCGACTGAGATTGAAAAGAGGAAGGAAGGAAGGAAGAAAGGAAGAAAGGAAGGAAGGAAGGTAG